GAACCCACTCATTCAGGCTACTGAATTTTACTTGAAAACCCATCAGGCTTCGGATTATTAATAAGCGGCGCTGGGGATTATTGAGAACCCACTCATTCAGGCTACTGAATTTTATTTGAAAACCCATCAGGCTTCGTCTTATTAATAAGCGGCGCTGGGGATTATTGAGAAGCTAGTTATATAGGGTTAGGAACTTTGGTCAATAGTTAATAGGGCTTATCATCGGAGGGAAGCAGGAGACTAGCGATGTTTAAGGAGGAGTCTTGTAGCATAGAAAAGCTAGCAGAAGGGGCTTGAATGATTGGAATCGGTTAGGAAGAAGCTCGCCGCCGATTTCTATTCTTTGACTGCTCGCGAATAGAACTCGGCTCCTAGCCGAAGCAGACTGTTGATTAGTTTAACTGAAAGCAATGCATAATATCTCACGATGGAAATAGCAGCTGCATATTAATCAATTATGATGTGTCTGGGTGTTTCGGTATATGCTCTTTCTGGTATCTCGTATGATAGTCTGACGATGAATTATGAACTCTAAAAACCAGCGCTCGCTTTAGATTTAGTGAAAATAAGTTAGTCACGGTCATTAGATAAAAATGCATTTTTAGAAAAATTCGAATAGCTTATCATAAAATTTTAGTAGGTTTAAATAGACTAACAATTGTCAATATGAATGATCTTGTTTAAATAATATAAACTAAATCGGAATAATATAAAAATAATTACCGTGAAATAATATCCAAGCACGATAGAGATTGAAAAGTAAGAGTCGAATATATGTGTTGCGAATACAAATGAAAACGAATAACTAAACGAATATGTAAAGAGCTGCGCATTAATATTTTTTGTATATACGATTTATTCATGCATAAAATGTCCTTTTATATTTTCATCTTTTTTTTAAGTCATGAAAAAAACAAGCAAGCAACGAAATAGGAGTGATTAATGAGTATTTTTCTTTTTCTTTCTTGTATAAGACGCATATCGCTTGTATTCACTGTAGGTAGATAATCGAAATGTGAGTAATTGCTCGAGTTCTCTTACATTAATGATATAGACGATGTGTATTTTTCATTTTGTCTTTTTCTTTTTTCTCCATGAAAAAAACAGGCAAGCAATAAAATAGAAGCTACAATCCATATTTTTTTTTTTCGTTCGTCTATGTAACGCATATTGCTTATATTGAGTGTAGGTAAGTAATCGAAAGATGAGTAATTGCTCAGTTCTCTCACATTTACAAAATATACATATATAGTCATGTGCGAAAGTTTTTAGTTAGACGATGTTTTTCTCTTGTGTATGTAATGTATATTGCTTGTATTCTGTATAGATAGGTAATCGAAATATGAGTAATCGATTTGTTTTGTTAAATTAACGAAATAGACGACGATGATTGCATTTAGAGGGTGATTGTATTTGAAGGATGATTGTATTTGGGCGTTGCCTGGAATTGAACGATGTTTGTTTACTATCTTTTGAGCAACTATCGTACGTCACGATTATAAAAATCCTCAATATGATTATTTTCTGATAAATAAAAGCGAACATTTTGTAACTATTTCAATATAAATAAAAAGCAATAGTTGTCTCGTATAACACTTTAACGATTTATAGCGTCCAAATCTACAAATTATTTTAGTTAAGACATAAATTGATTTGACCAAAGTTTTGTTTTGGTTTAATACTATGTCAGATGAGCTGTTTGTTAAATGTGAAAATTTGAAAAATATCTGGGCGAGATATTGCTTATGTAAAATCGTTGGAATCGGTCGTTTTTTTAACATAATTTTCGACTTAGGCATGCACTCAAAGTAGGATTATAATTGACTAAAACCATAAATTTTCAATGAATTATAAACTGATTGGGTATCTTTAATATTAAAGGGAGATTGAAAATCAATCGTGCATAGGATACAAGCAAATAAACGAAATGACTAATACTAATACTTTAGCTTAATAATAATAAATTCTTACTCAAATCGGTACATTTTCAGAAAACAAATCATACGATGATGTTACTTTTGAAATCATCTTGAATAAAAAACAAAAGTTCATCGTTAGTGTAGAATCACATTTAACTTTTTCAGTATTTTATCAGTGTAGAAATAGATATTTTTGTTTTGATTTAACATATACATCGATACGTTTATTTCACATCATGTGATGTATTTCGCTTCGCAAAATTATGTATATTATTCATATAATATAATTGCAGTGCGCCAACAGTGATAAAAAATGATACGAAAAAGAATATAAACTAATGAAGCACAAATGAAAGCGAACAGAACAGAACAGAACAGAACAAAACAAACAAATATTTTTAACAGCCATGTGCGCTGCACATTCTACTATCCGTTTAAAAAAAAAGAATGCAAGGGATTGATTATTTCAGAATTTTTCAAAAAGATATTATCTTATAGAATCATTAATAATAATAATAATAATAAATATTAATTCATATTAGCTAATGTTTTTTTTATATAAGAAAAAATTCTTATAAAATTATCTTAAATATATATATATATATATATTATTTTAAGACAAATTTATGTTTAGATAATTATTTAAATGATATTTAAAATCTATTCTAATAATTCAAAGATCTAAAAATAATTCTACAATTATATTTATTATTACCACTATCATATCTATTTTTATTAATAAGAATATGTTGTATATTCAAAGGGAAAAGATTTTTATAAATTGAATTTATTCAAATATTTAGTGATAAATGAATAGAACTTAGTTCTCTTTTAAGTTGAAATCAATTGCAAAGTTACGAATATCTTCTAATCACAAAATATCTAAATTTATACAAGATTTTATATGATTAGTGAAACTATCAATTGAAAAGAAATTTCAAAGAAATATTTTCAATAAAGTTCATCATTGTAATAATAAGTTTATCTGATTGAATACAATGTGGAAAAAATTATTGCCAAATAATTACTTCAATGAACAGTAAAAAATCAATTGTTATATGTGTTTTTATATAATAATAATAATAATAATAATAATAATAATAATATTGTTTTTAAAAACTAACAAATAATTTTAAAATGATTTTCTCAGTAATAAAACATATATACAAATGCAAGTGTCGTTACTAATTATCTATTCTATTTTTCTAACATATATATGAAATTAGCTCTAAATTCAACTATATTTAATTTTATAAAGAACTTTAATCATCATATATTGATATAAGTGAAGTATTTTAATGTAGTAGATAAATGAAGAAAAATTGCGAAAATATTAAAACAACATTTTATTTTGCAGTATATGTTTACAAGATTCATTAATTAAATCTAATATTATAAAAAATATCAAAAATTAAATCTAAACTATTCATTAGTTTTTTCTTATTATCTTACTATAAAAAAAATAATATCTATACTTCATATATACATGATATCATCAGAGACATGATAATTATTATATTATCTACATTATATTTTCATCACAAAATGTGAACACCAAATGCAATTTTTTTAAATTAAATAAATAAAGAAAAGAATATCAAGTCAAAATATCTGATTTACTAGAAAAATGTTAATCATCGTTGTTAACAATATGATTTTTAGAGATAGTGAAAAGTTTAAAAAATATATCATAGTAGAATCTATGAGACAAATAACAGAGTTTTTGTTGATTATGAAATAATGATTTGTATGAAAGATAATCTTATATTCATTAATATAATCATCAACAATGAATTACATATAATAATAAAAACATTAGTAATAGCTCACTTAAAATTTCATATAAATTTGAGAATAA